TTGTATATGGTTCTAAATAGAATCTTTTTAAAATAGATCTATGTAGTACCAAAAAGGGTTCTTCTATTGTTAGAAGATCAAACTTGTAACCACAGAAGAACCTTTTTTGGTGCTATATAGAACCATTTTCACCATGCAAAGAACCATTTAAGCATGAAATTGGTCTATATAAAACTCATGGTTCTATATATATATATATAATGTACACACACACACACATACATATGTATGTATATATACCAAATGTATTTATCAAACATATTTTTGCAGTGTATGAAAATGGCCAAAAATATATTTCTTAAAAATATATTTAAATGCATTTATCAGTGTTAGTTATTATCTGCGCTCAGTTGAGTGTAAAGAAGGTTCCAGATGTAACTAAACGTTCTTCAGACAGTGAAGAGCATCAGACAGGATTCTGGATATTTTCATACATTTTCAGATGGATTTGATAAAAACATTTACACACAGTTATTTCTGTATGGAACATTTCTGTGTGTAATATTTCCCCATACATTTTAATATAAATGCATTGTAAAATATATTTGGTTAATATGGCAAAATATTCTGAAACACATTTTAGTGTTTGGAGTGTATTTCAGCATCGACTGCAGTGAATTTGTCCATATATTTTTTTACATTTGGGAATACAGGTATTACAGCGGCTGTCTGGATACTTTTGGACATACATTGTGCTTAATGATTTGATCTTTTTACTAGATATGTATTCACATTTTTGTTTGGCCCTCACTAGAACCTGAGAGAGCAGGAGTTCCTGCACGTTTTTCTGCTTCTTTATTAAAGCGTCCAATCAAATTCTTATCACACGTACGGTGATGAGTGCAGGGAGCACAGCCGTCCATTACTCAGGCTCTCAGTCTCGCTGTTCCGGGTGATGAAGATGCAGAACGTGCTCAGCATTAAGGATTTAAAGTAACCTTAGTATAAAATGTTCTGATTCCTGATACGTTTAAAAACTGTTCAGACGTTTTCAGAAGAGAGAAATTTGCAGACTTCACTTTAAATTGATTTTCCAGTTTTCTCAGTAGAATTTACAGCCTACAGCAGGGGGCACAACTCTGGGCCTGGGGGTCTGGTGTCCAGCACAGTTTGGTGATTTACCTGCTCAAACACCTGATTACACTGACCTGTTAACTGCCAGAGTTAGTGGGTGTGGCTGAGTAGGGAACCACCAAACTGTGCTGGACACCAGCGCTCTAGGAGACCCTTGGTCTACACTATTTGACTTTTTATGCAAGCACACAGGGGCTCCAAAAAGTATTTGGACATTCCTGGCATACTTAAAAAATGTATTAGACTCATTGTGTAATGTTGTGCTAAATGTGTTTTCTCTCAAACCAAAACATTGTTTTGAACATTTTGAGGATCTTCATTAAAGTTTACTGGTGGCTAAAGTGGTTAAAGTGTCCAAATATTATGTAGGGCCAGTAAAGTATGACTTTATTTTTTGATGCAGTTCTTTTCCAGTATTTCTCTGCACATGATCAGAGCTCTTCACCCTTAGTTAGTGTCCAAATACTTTGTGGAGCCAGTGTATTTACACTCTTATACTTCCATACTTGCTTACTGAGTCAAATTTTCACCCTTAAGTTTGGTTTCTCTGCATTTTTTACACCATGAATTTGAAATGACCACTATTTCCAGAAAATCACATCAAAAGCGTATTTTTGTAACATTATTCATCGCTAACCGATACACAAGCAAAGATCTCTAAAAAACAAACTAAATACTTTTTTCACTACTTTTTTTCTTTTTTGTTTGTTTGTTTTTTCTGTTTTTCTAGGCACTTTACATTCAACTCTGTAGAAGCTCATTGAGAGAGATTTGGTACCTACTGCTCTGAATATAGTACAAAAGCGAAAACCTCACTTCAAGCCTAAAGATGAACATTTTCACAAATGTAGTATTGTTTACACTCCAAATGGAGGTTTGGCTCATCATGTCACTGTTAAAGCTGCTGAGCTACACGTTTACACTTTCACAAGGGCTTATGATATACAAAGCAGCGGCGGTTTGGTCATCTGTGATCGCTACAAACGTACATGTAGATCTTCCAAACGGTTATCAACCAATTTAAAATCAATTACTGACTTTTTCCACTGTGCAGTGGAAACGTCTTCTTCTAAAGTGACCTTCCAAGATTAGCCATGTTTACATGCAGCCTGACAATCCGGTAATAATCTGGCTAACAGCTCAGTGAGAATAGGAAACGGGTAATCCTGTAAACAATCCTTTAAACAGAAGAATCGGCTTCTGATTCGTCTTCTACTTTCAATTTTACAACTTTTATCAACACTGATTCCAAGAATCTAAGGGTGTTTTTCCACTGCAGTGACCCAAACAGGAACACTCTAGTTTAAGCTCAGTGTCCACTGAAAACCATCATAATAACCATAATTAAGAATTTACTTGTTTTTGGTCATTTTATGGCGCTCTAAAACATTCACTGTAGCTAACTAGTCACATTGCTTGATAGTTAGCTTAGCTTCTTAGCTTATATGAAACAATATGCAGCACTGCTCTGCGCACACTCACAAAAATGTCTACATTTACACAAAATCGTGTAGAATTAAACAAAGTTCATATTTGTCTCTGTCAGGTTTGAAAATATGAGCAAAAACACTCGTTCTGTGAAGGATGGCACAAATAGTAGCTTCCTAACTAGCCTGCTTAGCAATCTCTCTACATCCTGGCACTATTATTGGTGATGTAATAGTGCTTAGTGTCTGAATCTTCACCTGGAAACGTAAATAATTTGATACATTTTTGTTAGCTTGAGCTGCAAGAGTTAGCAAATCCCCTCAAGTACCATTAGGCCCTGTTACTGATCTTAAGTACCAAAAAACCTTAAAACTGGAACCCTCGGCACTGGACTGAGGGCCAATGGGAAAGGAACAGTTCCAGTTTTCTAGAACCAAAGGTTCTGGTACTTTGTGCAGTGGAAAAATGTCTTCTCCTAATTTCACTTTCCAACATCAGCCACGTTTACATGCAGCCTGATAATCCATTAGTAATCTGACTGATAGCTCAATGGGAACAGAACACGCCCACCTCAGTCGGAATACAATAGTCCGATTGAGTCCATTCTGAATACAGTATCTGTCCGATTGAATGAGGTGTAAATAACCTGTTAAATAGAAGAATAATATCAGTGTAAACGCCTGTATCTGATTACATTCCCTATCAGAAAGTGTGAGCATTTTTCTGCACATGTGCGTCTCGTCATAGCGCAAGTTTAGAAACTGGTCTGCAACTTATTAACTTTAAAAGACTGCTAGTCTCATTCTGATTGGACTCACGTGATGCTCGTTGTCACGGTAACGTCTGCACTAAACGGGACTCGTAATTTTGGATCTGATTTTGACAATGTGCATGTAAACTGAGATTTCCATCAGATTATTGAGTAGAGTGAGAATAAACACCTCAGTCTGAATCTACAATCTGAATGAACTCAATCAGAAAATCATTGCATGTAAACACAGCCACTGACTCCATGTATCTAGAGATGTTTTTCCACTGCACTTTCAAAAACAAGACCCAAATGGGAACTAATTGAACTTATGTTTGAGGTTCTAGATCATTTCCCACCTTTTCACAACTGGAACTGTCAAAATAACCACACTTAACTATTTAATCATCTCTCTAATGATTGTATCCCACTCAAGAGCACCTACTCTTAGCTGCCATGAGCTCAATCAGCTGTTCTGTAAAAAGAACAGTTCCAGTTTTATAAAGGTTCTGCTGCTTTGTGCAGTGGAGAACACCCTATGATAGACCAACAGATCTAACTAATCTTGCTGGAGTTTAAAATTGAAGTAAGCTTCATAAATATTCCACCTGTTAGAATTATTGATCACAGTATGAACTCAAATATCGTTCCACATCATTAATTTGTGACACACAATCAATATTTGTGTTTAAGTGAAATTTACAGCTCAGTCTTATGATGAATTTCCAAGCAGGCATCTCACGGCTTAATCTTTCTGCTAAAGCGTCCTCAGCTGAGTCTGATGTCTTTTTGATTCCGTTTAGAAGCGAACTGTGGTTATAGTTCCATCTTCTTTGCCATTGTTGGTTGAAATGTTCATGTTATCATTTTCATTCCAAAATCAAGCTTTTTCAGCTTTAAAAATGAAGAAAAATCATGAATAAATACACGCGAAGAATACTGTTCGTGAAATATGTTTATACAAATGGAGGATGAAGGCACATGCAGTACAACCTTGTTGTGACGCGGAGCTGAAGCACAGCTTAACATCGTGGGGTTTTCTTCACTCTTTAATGACTGATGATCCAACACGTCAAGCGCAAGAACATCCAGACAGCACGTCATGTTTGTTGGCCTGAAGCTATCAAGCTCTGTCACGGCGCATTATATCTTCTCTGTTCGTGTCAGAGACGGCTCCTTTGTGCTCCCTCCTGCCGCGCCGTGAGTACAAATGTCTTCATGGTTTTGGATGATCCGCAGTGAAATCACAGTCCTTTCTGACAGTTTATTTCAGGACCATCTTTAAGAGAACATTGGATTCCTGTCCACCTGTTAGAAGAAGCGAAAGTCCTTCAGTTCCCTGGTATTCGACCTAGTTTGATACTTGTGTGGCTATTGCTGTACATAAAAAGCACAAAAATATGGCACAGCAGGAATTTTCCTAATGAGGCGTCGTTATTCATCTGTGGCCTGTGCTGGTTTTGATGTTCCTCTGATGAAAACGCATCTGCTGATGACTCGTCCTTCATATAGCGATGTGATGATTTCACTGTAAATATGGGTCATGAGCTCTTTCGTCCACTGATTGATGCAAAAATGTGTAAAATCCATTGATCCTTCTGCAAAACCTCTTCCTACCTGTATTCCCAGCCCATGAAGAACACCTCAACTTCTCAACACTTGCTGTTATAATGATGTACACCAATGGTTCATTATGGTTACTTGTTGAAGAACAATCTTCTCAGCTGTCTGGTTAATGGTTCCCTTTTTGTCAGTAACTAGACTCTAGAATTCAGTGGTGGAGATCTGGGTGACCTCAGACTGCAGCTCCTGCTGGACCCTCCTTGAGCGGGACCCTCGAGGGATCCGCTCCAGGCCTAGTCATACTGGCTTCTTCCCTGCGTCAGATTGAGCACAAACCGAAACCGGCTCCCGGGTGGCGTTCCTGGCCCTGGAGAGGCTGGTCTGGTCCACCTTGGTGCGGAACGGCAGGCAGAATTCCCTGAAGCACCTCTTGAAGTTCTCGTCGAGGAAGGCGTACAGGACGGGGTTGAGGCTGCTGTTGGTATAACCGAGGGCAATGCACAGGTGCCAACTGGCAATCACGAAGGGGTTCCTCTGATCGACCTCCACCAGAGTTTTGACGATGATGAAGATGTGAATGGGCGTCCAGCAGATGATGAAGGCCGCCACCACTACTAGGACCATGCGGGTGATGCGACGCATGTTCCTGTCCTTCTCCTTGGAGCCAGAGAGAAGTCGGACGCTCCGCAGGCGGAGGATCATCAGCCCGTAGCAGATGGTGATGACGAGGACCGGCACCACGAAGGCAAAGATGAACACGCAGATCTTAGTCACCGTGTCCCAGTACCAGTCAGGATCGGGAAACTTCAGAGTGCAGATGGTTTTTCCTGCAGGAAATACGACGTGATACATTTACTACGTCGGAACACACTGGGGCAGATTTACTAAGACAGGCATTAATTACCAACACTGCGCTGGTGGGGGCCGATTTAGTGGGATATTTACTAAGAACTTTTATGCAGTGAACACAGTCACGACCAACACAGTATGTTTCCAGGAAAAAAACAAGTTTTGGTAACACTTTAGGCTGGGCGTACGCTACACAGCAGAGAGCATCAGAAACCTGATTGTCGTGAGGCGCTCAGACTAGCCCACAAGGCAAAGAGAGAGAATAACACACACGTTTTCAGCTACGAATAAGAACTCAAACTCCCAGATCTCCTCAGATCACAGGATATATGTGGTGAGAAACACTGATATCACAGTGAGAGCTGGAGGGGGAGGGAGAGGCCTGGGCACATTAGTGTGCTTGGGGCTGAAATTTTGGTGCTACACCTCTGCTTATGTCACACGGTAACATATACCAGTTACCCATCGTGACATCAAACAATATGGCATTTGTCATGGCAAGTACTGGGAATGACATCATAACACTGTTATACTATTCAGTAATATGTGTCATGATAAATTATGACAGCATTTGACATCAGCCATTCTTTGTTTATGTTATGGTTATGTCAGTTATGCAGCAGAGTTTAAATAAAGTGCTGCCCCAGTTTTTATTCTTCTCTGATTATGTTTCAAACTGTGACTCATTAGGCTGACTTATTTTCTCAGGGTTGTGACTTCGCAAATCAAAATAATGGCAAAGTTAAAAATACGAGTTGTTGCTCTTTCAGAGGGTGTGTGATTATTTCGACGCTTGTGCTTTTGACAGTCCGTTTCAAAACGCAGGGTCATTTCGGGCTGGCGGGATGAGCTGAACCATGAGAAATGGTAAAATCCCTGTTTAATTTGACTGAGCGTATCCTGGCTGTTTGGAAATGTATGATTTTGAAGTCACAGCAAGTGAAGCTCTCAGCTACGTGCAGCGCATCAAAGACTGAGACCTTTCAGCTACAGAACACAGAGAAACAAGAAAAGGAGTGGCTTCAGTAAAGCAGCGATTGCACAACCTGAAAAGTGTCAATTTGTGCTTTAATCAATCATTTGGAGAAGAAAACTGTCAAATCACTATTCAGGAAAAAGCTGCTCTCAGCTCACTTTGATGAGAGTGAAATAAACTCAGTGTTTTTAGAAATCAAGTTTAAAGCACTGTTTACAAATGACTGATATCACAGAATATAAATGCATTTTAAAAACTCCTTCTGAGCAGCAAAAATAAGCTGATCTTCTCACAGGTGTTAAACTGCACAGTGAGAGTCGGTGCTTCATTATAATAATCTCCTCCTGCTCTGAGAGGGAAACTCCTACAAATGCATATCATCACTGTCATAACAAAGCCTCCAAAAATGCAACTTTACAGGAGAAGGAAAAACAGCCATAACCTTTAGTGTAAGTTAATGTACAAACATTTCGTTCTGGGCCTTTGTGGCATTGTGGCATTTCTGTTTGTCTGTTTGTGATGAAGTGTTGACACTGTAAATGGCAGCTGTTTTTTTCAAATTATATTAATGTATTTCAAAAAATCATGACAGCCATTTTTAATGCCAAAATAGATTTCACCACAGCGCCAAATAAACTTACATTTAAAGGTTTAAAAAAGCGCCTGAGCTCAGGATTCTACTGAAAAACACAAACATAAGATAATATGATACACTGAGTTCATAAACTGACATTCACCTTGATCTGTCACCTTGGTAACTGCCATGATCATTATGGGCACTCCGATGGCCGACGAGAGAATCCAGACGCACACGTTGATGATCTTGGCCTTGACGGGTGTCCGGAACTCCAGCGCCCTCACCGGGTGGCACACGGCAATGTAGCGGTCCACGCTCATCATGGTCAGGGTGAAGATGCTGGTGAACATGTTGTAGTAGTCGATGGCGATGACCAGTTTGCACAGCGGCTCGCCGAAAGGCCAGGTGTTCATCAGGTACTTGGCACTCTGGAAGGGGAGGGTGCTGGTGGCCAGTGCGTCGGCCAGGGCCAGGTTGAAAATGTAGATGTTTGTGGCGGTTTTCATCTTGGTGTACCTGCAGAGATCAAACAGACGGAGGAGTGTCTGTTAGTTTATATCTGTGGCACAAAAGAGTCTTCACTGCACAGCAACTACACTCCTAAATATTAAGGTGCCAACAAATGCGCTTTGGTTAAATGCCATAGATGAAGCTCTTTAATGGCCCTCTCTGACATTTTTCTTGTATTTTATATTTTCTCCTGAGCTCCACTTATGACATTTGTTTGGTTTTAGGTACCAAAAATATTCATAATTCATTTTCACATGATCATATGATCTTCCAGCCTCTCTCTAAACAGGCTTTTTAGTTATGGAGCCTTTAAGACTGATACATGTAAATGAGCTCTGTTCTGATTAGCTGCCCTATTCAAAAAGCAGTCAAAGCCATTGCCATGTTATCCCAGGTGGTTGCTAAGGAGTTGCTAGGTCATTACAATGCTATAATTTTTTATAAAATCCTAGATGATTGCTAAGATGTTGCAAGGCCAGTGTTATGGAATCACAAGTGGTTTCTAGTGTGTTGCTAGAGCATTACTGTGGTATCCCAGGTGGCTGCTAAGATGTTGCTAGGCTTTTGCAAATGATATCCCATGTGGTTTTTAAGATGTTTCTAGGCCATGCTATGGTGTCATAGGTGGTTGCTAACATGTTGCTAGGCCATTGTAATGGTATAATTTGTTATGAAATCCCAGGTGGTTGCTAAGATGTTGCTAGGCTTTTGCTATGGTATCCCAGGTGGTTGCTGCTGTGTTGCTAGACCATTACTGTGGTATCCCAGATGGATGCCATGGTGCTGCTAGGCCATTGCTATGGAATTGCAAGTGGTTGCTGAGGTGTTGCTGGGCCATTGCTATGATATCCCAGGTGGTTGCTAAGGTGTTGCTAGGCCATGCTATGGTGTCGTAGGTGGTTGCTAATGTGTTGCCAGGCCATTGCAATGGTGTCGTAGGTGGTTGATATGTGCATTTAGATATGGGCTCGTATGTATGTGAGTCTCTTTGTAATGTCTATGATGGGCAGGGTGAAAGATGTTCTTTGTGAAAACATTTGTAGTATTTAAATTTTAATGGTCTAAAAATTCCACCATTCATTTCCTATAAAAAAAAGGGTTTAAACAAACACTGTGCAAAAACTCAAAAGCTCAAGTGCACTATTCTCATATAGGCTCCACCCCAGTGAAAACAGTCCCCAAAAAAATAAAACAAAGAGCAGTAAGTTGTCTTTGTCAAGCCAGCCTCATTAGAACCACTGTGCTGCGCTACTGCCATGAGTGGAAATGATTAGAATGGTGCAATGCAGGTAAAATATGTGAAAGTCTTTTTATTTTTTGTCTAATAATGGATCAGTGTCAAAGCTCTTAATCCTGCATAGCAGGAGCTGCTAACATACTTGTCCTTCGATTTATTCATGTTCAGAACAGTTCACAGCCCTGTCTGTCACCGTAAGAGCTGAGAGTGGACGGTGTTCGTTAGTCACACTGCAGAAAAAAGAGCAGGGCAGCACACAGACAGTGAGATAATGGATGTGGCATCTTTTCGATGTATTATTTAGAGTAAAGTCTTTTAACGCTGGGACACCGGCAGGAAAAGGCCGTCTAATGTGGAGAGAAACTGTGTCGGGTTGTCGGGTTTTTTCAGGTTATTGAGTTTTCAGGTTATTTCTGTTATATTTGCTCTGCTGCTCAAAGTTGTGGCTCAGTGCAGACGCTTTATTCGAAACTGTAACAGGACACTGTTATATTACTGGACATAATCTGTCATGACAGTATCTGACATGTGCCATAGCATGTTCATAGCATGGTTATGTCAATGTTATGTAGCAGGGCAATGCCAGAGTGGGTAATCGGGTGAGTCGGGAGAATTTCAGGTGTAGAGTTTTGGGCTGGTTACTGAGATCTAGTGTATAAATTCACATATATAAGCACAAGAACTCTCAGATAAGCTATAAGCATTACATCAAAGTGTCTATCTGGAGTAAAATAAAGCAATAAGCCACTCAAGGCCGCGCATTACTGCGGTTTTATCATGGGGAAAGGTGTTTTTAGGCACGACGCGAAGCAGAATAAAACTCTCCTGTGATAAAATCCCTGTAAGGCCTCGAGTGGCTTATTGCTTTTATAAAATGGCAGCCAGCATAAAATATGATAAAATACACAAAATAATGTATTGTTATTAATAATCAACGTAAACAAGTATTCCACTAAGAAATGTAGTTCCTTTAGAGTATGGCACTGTTGCCAAGCAACCATGGACGGCTGAACGACAGGAATGGTCGCTCACCCATCACTGTGTACTGTGACCATTTCATGAACTTTCTAAATTTTTGTCATATAATAATGAACATCATATCACAGCACTGTTTAATGCAGAACTTTCACTTTATAAGAACGTTCTGGTCTCCAGATTACCACTATGAGTCTTATTTAGCACCAATCCAGTGGCGCCGCTCTTCTCACACTGGGGCTGAATCTCAAACAGCTCCCTGCTCCCTACATAGTGCACTACGTAGGAGTTTAAATACTGACTGCTGCAGCCCAACAGTGATTAATACAGCTAATATTTGGGATTCAGACTCATCCACACTCGATAAATGATGCACTGTTTGGCTGTAGAGGCTAGAATTTCTAAACTCTCATAGCTAGAACACTATTTAGGGAGTACAGAGCCGTTTGGGATTCAGCCTGGGTTTGACGCGACTTCTGACTGAAATACAGACATTTGAAGCTTCTAAGACATTCAGGTGACGTTCTTTAGACTTTAATTCTGCATTTCACAGTTAGTCATGCTGCAAGTGCTTTAATTCAAGCTGTGATATTAATGATGGAGTTCTTTAGCATGTCTGCTGTCTTTTAGCCTGTTAGCTAGCTGACCAGCCTGGTTCTAGAAAAAAAAAAAAGCTGTCAGCCCATCAGTTTAAACAGAACCGGGTTCTTACTTCATCAGTACACTCAGTGCTCCATGTGAGCAGCATTAGAGTCAAAGATTATTCATTAACAGCAGAAGGGTTTTCATTTGTGTTGTGTAGTAATACACAATTCAGTTGTTGTGAGTCAACTTAAGTGTTCATATATTGTGTATTTAACAATGGCTTTGAATGCAGCTCAGCCAATCAGATTTTAGGACCAGAACTATACATTCTATACTATATGTTTTTGAATTTAAAGCTGCAGTGGGTTAAAAGATGTAAGTTAAGTGGGGACGTTTGAAAGGATATCTGTCCCTGTCTGTCCCTGTCAGTACGCTTTAGCCTGTGATAATTAGGTTCAGGTTTTAAAGGTTGCTGATCTGTTTTTATTTATCTTTGTGCATCTCAAAGGTCTGAGTTATCATCTCTGTGTAGAAGTTGTGTCTGTGCTGAGCAGATGCATGAAGGTGCTGCAGTGCTCGCTGTGTTTATGTGAATCCAGCTTGCTGACTGGTTGATTGTCTTGTATCAATATAGAAGTGTTGGAATATGTAGGGTGACCACTGCACTGCCGTTAGGAATAGTCTAAAGCCTGATGTAATGATACTGATGGACATCAGCGTGTTTTGAACTTCTGTCTATAAAGTTGGTTTACCCACTTCGTGTGTGTACAGTTTAAGGTGGGCGGGTCTGCATCCTGTAACTCCCGGCAAATTCACCTTTACTCTGTCTCAGAATTGTCCTTCATGCAGCAAGACTACAATCCCTATGAAACAGCACTATGACTCAGGAGCCCATATGTAAATATTTATTATTGGTGCGCTGCTGCTGCTTGACTTGTCGGGTAAATATTAGCATGAGGGATTGATATACTGTAGCAGGGATATACTGTAGCAGGAGGGGGGGGGCTGGGCTGGGAGGTCACAGCATTGTAATTTCCCAAAGGAACAGAACACTCTTGTTGAATTTGCACATTTGGCTCCACCACATAAATTGACAGGCCAAGAGGTCACGCTGTGAGAAGGTCTCTTAATCTCAGGTGGGTGTCAATAGTTCAATGGAATTGTAACGAATTGCAGGAATAAGCAGGATACTGTAAATGTGCTGAGCAGCGTTATTAGGAGGCCATTCATCGTTATTGATGGAAGAAATGAGCAACAGTCTCAGATGTTTTGACTGTTTTGGAGCCCGTATTCAAGGCAGATGTTTCAAAACAGTGGAAACACACATTCTGCAGCATCATGTATGGATTCACTTCAGAATTAAGGCTTATTCACACCAAATATGATTTTTAACAAAAATAAAAGATGCAATTTTGTAACGCGGTGAAATCTTCACATCAAGTCCAATGAATTAAACACAGTGTTGCAGCTCGTCACTTGTGAAAGACCATAAAATATGTTCATTTTCAAAACTTCACATGCATTTTTTGCCTTTACTGTCTTCTCTGCTGCTTCTGGATTCAGTAATACTCATAATATTTGTCTTTTACTTGAGTACAACTGACACAGCACTTCTGAAAATGAGAATTTTAAGACAGAATTTTCACATACAGCATGGAAAAGCATTTGTGATAGATAGATATATAGATAAATAGATAGATAGATAGATAGATAGATAGATAGAGTTTGGGCAGAGACCACTTCGAAATTTCTTTACAGTTACTATTTGTTTGTTGAGACCAAAGAGACCAAAACTGCCCCCATCAGATAAACAGCACTTAAAGCTTTCATCTCCGAGAGAGAGATGAGCATCACTGCTCTCCCTCATAGTCACTGAAAGAGGTCAGAATACATTCAGGCAGGCACAAAAGGGAGATTCAGAACAAAAAAAACAGAACAGAGTTATCATCAGAACCAGAGGAGGAACAAAACAAGGACACAGCTCAGGACTCCACTGAGAGAACGGCAGGCAGTGATGATGTACTTAATACTGAAGGTCTGGAGCATCAAAAAACAGACACGCTGCACTTTGAAGCACTTTATCAAGGTTTGGCTAATTTTCTAAAGACACCCAAAAAAGCACCTGATCAATGATTGCTTTGGAAACTGTTGGATTCACAACAAGCCAACTCCAAGATCTGAAAGGATTTGCACTAATCCTGAGCATCTT